CAATCCAGTTGGTTTGTGGCTGTCTGCTTTCTGTTGTTCATACCAGCTTCCAAGTAATTACTTAAGGTTGACCAGAATAAATAGCATATAGGTCAATAATGCAGCACCTTTTTAAAACTTAATAAATGGTAAGTGCTTGCACTACTATCATTTGACTAATTGCTGGATTCTCAGCTCCACCAAACTGTTTTATAACAGAAATTGCTCTGAAGCATGTGGTTGCTTTATCCTCTGTTTCTTTTGCATTTTATCTTAAATAATCCTGCTTTTTTATCTAATTTATTTCACATTCAATCAGTCAGTATACAAAATGTCCTGTGGTAAACTACATTTTTGAGCTGTGAGCTAACTCAAGAGCTTCCATATGGTTGTAAGGAAACATACCTAGTTTGGATTCAACAAAAAAATAAGCTATGAAGAAAATTTCTATGAAAATGCAAGTTACATATTCATAAATACAGAGAACTGTTTCTACATTTTTAATACTTGTATAAGACTTCATCTCATGAAATCTTTAGGTTTTGAAATATAGTACTTTCCTAATAAAGGAGATCTTGCTTTTATTTATTTGTTTAACACCTTTGGACTTAAAATGACTGAATCATTATTCACTCAGAGGAAGTGGAATGACATTATTTAATCTTTAAGTGAAGTTGATTATGTTGCAGTGTATTAGAAGTGCACTCAGTGTAAGTGAGCATACCTGAGCTCCATCTGGTGTAGTCAGCTGGAGCTGTGCTACCAGGGCAGATCCACAAACGCTGTAGGTTCCTCTAGTCCAAGTGCCTCTGTAGCCAGCTGAAGGCCTGTGTTGCCACATCTTCATGACCATTGCTAAATATATTTCTTTGGTAAAAGGACAAGGCTGCCCATGGTGATCAACTCACACCTGTGGGTGTAAAGTTGCACTTCTAAACTGAGTTTTCAAAACTAATTGAAACTCAGTGATTATGCTCAGATATGTAATTAAGGTATTAATTTATTTCAATGCCTTTAACTGAATCTCAAACTATGTCTACCTTACAGCTAGGCTGAAACCACAGTTACTGACTCTGAGTCAAATGCATTAAGACAACATATTATTCAAACACTAAAATCTGTTGAAATTATGAAATCCTTGAGTATGCTTGAAAAATGTATGCAAACATCTTAAATGTTAAATTCCTCTTCAATCTATGGATTTGTTTTTAGCAGGTACAAAGTAGTGTTATGTGTAAAGTATGTTGCATAACACCTGTTTATCTATAAATGTACAAACTCCTTTAAATATTTCCAAGTTCCATAAAAATTATGTATCCTCATAGAGAATAATGTGTTATCAAGTAACTTAATGGTGGGTTGTAACTCACACTTTCCAAACTAAGTGCTCCCCTCAGAGTTCTCTCAGTATAAGGAAATGGAAACTCAGTACAAAAAATTAATTATTTCAAGTTAACATTATGGAACAGTCAAAGTACAATGGTTTATAAACATTGCCATTCTATTCCATTGTTCTAACTTCCTGGGCTTTTGAAGAAATTTGAATATAGGTGTTCCATAAACAAAGATTATACAATTTTTTTTCTTCAAAACTAGTTCAGCAGTATCTGGGTGGTAGGCTGTTTCAAGTATAAATTCCATTTGTATAGTTGCTCTGCAAAATGTTAAATTTACTTCATAATGGAAAAGCTCCAAGGTATGATTATTTTATAGAAAATTAACTGATTTTATTTTCAGAAATACTGAGCATCCATAACTCAAAAGGTTAAGATTTCATTTTTAAATGCTATATAGCTGGATATAGTATATAAACTAGAAAACATAATTTCTTGAGGTCTTTTCCTTGCTTACTTTTCTGACATGCACATTTTTAACAGCATCTTATCTAGGAAAAGTATGTCTGATAGAAAATCTGGCATGTTTGATACAAACACTGGTAATCAGGTCTGTCTACAAATGGCACTGTTTATCATCAAAACTATTTACCTATTCACTGCAGATCACTGGTAACATGTTATATTATCATTCTTCACCCTTGACCTTATGAGGCCCTTTATGAAGAAACTAGTTGCCAAGTACTATAGACTAAAATACAAATAATTAAATAGGTTATGGCATGTGAACATCTGATTCCCAGTAAATAACAGAACAATTTATTTGAACTATACTGCTTAACTTTGAATATAATGACCTCCAAGTTTAATTCTGTAGTCATTTCCTAAGTGTACTACCCAGAAAAATCTGTCACTATTAATTTATATAATATAGCATTCCAAATCAGCTTTCTCATAAATCTTCTTAAGATTAATCTCAGCTATTTAAATTGTAAATTCTTGGATCAACTTGTTGATCCTTATTAGTCACATATGTAACAAATTTGACAATGAAAAGTCTAATATCCTTTTTCTCTAAACTAAAATGTTTCAGATAAAACAATTTGTCAATTTAGATAATTTCATCTTAAATTATATGATTTGATAGAAATCCCTATCAGCTGTTCTTGCAAAATTTGTAGTAGACGGGCAGATACAGCCAGATTAAATTCCTAATTTTGCTCTCATTGTTGGCAACAAGAGCGCTGTCCACCTGACTGGCTCTTGCTTTTGTAGTAAATAGCAAATACAGGAGAGGTCAGAAATAAATCCAAAGACTGACATGTTGTACAGGCAGTAAAAAAATTTGTCAGAAGATATTCACCAACCAAAAAAACAATTGTACTTGATCTTAAGTCCTAAGGACGGTAACACTGAAAAGGCAGAATACCAAGCAGCAAGAAGCATCAGTGATTCATGAGTAGTTTTGAGTTGGTCAGTGCTAAGATCTTCACAATGTATAATACTTGATCTTTTTTTTCTTTTTGTGGAGGAGAGGTTGTCTAAACCTTACTTTTTTCATCGTGCATGAATATTTTTGCCCTTCATTTGTGAAAATGGCTTAGTTTAGCTGCTGTTCCTCCTTATCAGAAAGCTTCTGAGCCCCTGCTAAAGGCTGTCACTAGCAAAACCCCATTAGCACAATTAAAGATCTTTCTAAGCTTAATTTGATTAGGAATCTGTTTTCAATTACATTGAAAAGTCAAAGTAAGTATTATTCCTTTCTGAGATTCACATTAGCTGAGTTAACTTGTAAATGTAGTATAAGTCCAGCACAAGTCCTATTTTAACTCATTTTACTTTCATCGGTGGTATAGGTGGTATCGCTTGGGTGCAGACCACCAATATCCCTCCCATCCTTCCCTTTCCAGAGATAAGAAGTGCTTTTACCACACTTTGCATAATTTTGTGAGGACTTCACTGGCAAATACAGAAATACTAAGGAAAAACACAGGCATGGTTTTGAAGAATGTGTTGCTTAAGCTGTGTCAGAACAGCAGTAAAATTGGTGTTGTCTTCAGACAGCATATCCCTAAAAATAAACTGGGATCTAAAATAATTTCTTCGTTTCAGTGACTAATGATGTGAGATCACCCAAGGATGTGTTTGAAAGCAAGACTGACAGAAACTTGTAAGGTGGATGGCTCTTATATCTTTTCCCCCCTTCCTCTGCTTTTGCAATCAGTTTTAGATTGCAATTGCGTTTGTGGTGTGTATATCAATTGAGTAAAGGTCTCTGTGTATTCACAGTGATCCTAGTATAGGAACCATCTGGTACTGACTTATTAAACTACAGATTTGTTAAACTAGTTTTATGTTTCTGGATTTTTTCCTCACTCAACTACATTCAACTTTTTGAAGACTGTTAGTTTTTAAATAAAAATAACTAATAAAAACTATTGCTTGACTTGATCTTATGTTTATAGTTCCAGTAAAATAAACTTGTGTTATCTTAATTGTTCTGTATAGTATGTCATTTAGGCACAACTGCAGTATGTGGTGAAGTGTTATCAGCACATTTGGTACTGGGAAGCTGCTAGCACACACATGCAATTTTGGGTGAAACCTATAATCAGCTTATTAATTAAAGCAAAGGTGCTCTTAATTAGTATTTCTGAGCAGGAACTGTGGCTCTGTGGAGCTGTGCTTCTGACCCTTCTAGAGCACAAAATTGAGGTATCCCAGGAACTATATCTAGAAAGTTAATTTTTTTTTCCTCAAAAACAACACACAACCCTGGGGAAAAAAATGAAATATTTGCTCAACTCTAAACTGAAAAGCATTAAAAAGTCTGTGTCTGTGCCAGCAGTCTCCTTTTATGACAGATCTAATAACATAAAACCAAATAGATGTAGTCCTATTGCACTGATCAGCCTTTTTTTTCTGATCCCCTTATATTGCTTTATTCCAGAATTAGTTCTTTGCATGATATGACCAAATAGCAGGCTCTGGGAGAGCATCACCTTTATTACAGCAATATGCAGCAGCTGATAACAGGGTGGTTTAAAACTGCCAGTGACAAAAAAATAACAGCTGGTGTTGTTATCAGCACAGGTGTCTGCTGAGAGCTTTTGCTGGGCCCTCACAAAGCAGAGTTTTTCTTCTGTTGATACAGATGTGGAACAACCCTCTAACCACCCAGGAGTTGCTTAAACTCCAGCACGGGGCTGAGGGGTTGATGAGTAGCAGCCAGGTGTAATGTAGGAACTGCACGTTTCCTTGATCTGCCCGAGTCAGCATCCTTCAGAGGGTGATTTGTGGCACAGTGCTGGAGGCACAGCTCTCCCAGCCTGCCAACACATCCACACCCTCCTCACTCCGGGAATCTCGAGGTCACACTAGCTGAACCTTCATCTGACCTCTTCCGTGCCAGCTTGTGTTGTTTGCCTAGCAGCTTCTGTTGTCTGGAAGGCACCTGAACTATCACTAGAGACAGAACTGCCCTGGGATGTTTATTTTCCAAGTGGATTTATCAATGCCCACAATGTCTTTCACATTGTTCTTAGAGATGTTAAAAAAAAAAAAAAAAAAGGGTGAAGCTTCACGTGAGGTGGTAAAAAGGATTGGTACTACCAGTCCAGGCAAGTTTAGGGATTGCTTGAAGTTTGCTTTTTCCTTCTTTATGACAGATTTTATGAAGCTATACATTTGGATCTTTTATGAGAGGAGCGTGCAGAGGGAGGTGGTTTCACAATATTACTGCTGTGACATGTGCATGTGACAGTCAAGGCAGCTGAAGCTGAAACGTGGAAAGTCTGCTGTGAGCAGTTACTTTCTGCAGTACGTAAGTCTCTCTTAAGACCTTGCTTTTTCAAAAAAATTGAATATTAAAGAAAGATACTGAGGAAATTGCAGGAGGAGATAGTTTTATGATTGAGAACAGTTAGGGAGATATTTCATCTCTAAATTACAATGCAAGATATTTACACACAGAAATCAAAAGAAGGCAGCCTAGAGCATGGTGTAAGTAAGGATGAAATAGTTTTACCAAAAAATTGCTTGATTAGAATAACTGCGACCTTGCTACTAGGGAGTGAAGTACTATCTGCAAAAGAACAGAAGTAAATCATTTCACTCAAACGAAGAATTAGCACACCTTTTATGTTATACAGTGACTGGGCATCATCTTTTCCTCCTTCATATTCATTGCAAATAACTCTTGATAGTGCCTACAGATTCCTTAGTGTTGTGTCAATCAAGTGCATAAAACATAACCTGTCTGTTTTAACTTGCAGGCACTTGCAAGATGGATCCTTCCCTCTGCTGTTCTTTGCCATCTTTCCTGATTTAGTCACAATTTGTTTCATTCTTCTAGCTCATCAAACAAAACCTTCCTTTCTCTTCTGAGGTCTCATCCCTGCAGTCCTACCTTCTCTATCAGATCTGGCATGCACCTAAGTTTTGCTTTTCACTTTTGTCTTGTTAAAGAATACCAGCCTTAAGCATTAAATCCAGTGAGGAAAGAATAGGATGGGGTGGTTAATAAGCATTTTCATGCTTTGCTTTTCAGACTTCCATTTTAAAAGTTACTGTAGAAATCTATTGTGCAGTTCTTCATTCTCTCCATGTCCTACCTTAAAGGTCTCCACTTCTTTACTACTTGTAGCACACTGCAACTACCTGCTTAGGGCTAGGCAGGTAGAAAGCTATGCTCGGAGCTTCTGATGGACCAAGAACTGTTTGTTTCCTGTTGTATTTAGATGATATTACTCTGTTCCATCTAATCCAGCCCTCTGTTTTGTCTGCCTCTTGTTCTCAGAGGAAGCTCCCCAGCACATTGTTGCATTTGTGAGAGGGCAAGGGCCTGGGACCATCAGATTCTACCTTGCTATAAAATTGGAGGAAGATTCATAACAGAAGAGGTTCCCATCATACTAAGGTAAGACATGGGTTATGTATTTGGCATAACCCTGTGCCTATTTTCAACAAACAGTAAATACTGCAACATATTGTTCCACAACGACTGTGTAGACTCTAACTGTATGGAAGACACATAATATGCTTGAGCCTTAAATTGCTTTTCAGGCTTTTTTTTCAACTCAGTAAGGCTGTTTTCTCTTTGGATTGTTTTTAGTTGCTGACTTTGCTACAAGTATGGGGAAAGGTAAAGGAAAAGCATTATCCAGATTTTCTGCTCTGGAGTGAAGCATTCCAGCTCATTCATTCACAAATCAGAAGTTTGTTCAGGGGAAGTTTCACTAAGTAAGTAGCCCCAAGGATTTAGAGATAAGCCTAAATCCAAGATAAATTGTATGCATGAAGTATGGAAGATGCCATGACTATAAATGTTCTGTGGAGCACATGTGGATAAAACTAAACCAACATCTACAATTCTGCATTACATTCTTTAAATGTTGAGCAAACTCAGGATTTTTATCTCAACAGATGTGGGGAGGGTAAAGGTTTTAGTTCAAGAAATGAACAATATGGACCTGCTCTGATTACAGTCTACTGTGTCAATTCATAGGAAAATCAAGACACTTGGGAACCTGCTACAAGCTTACAGATACTTGACCTCTGTGAAGAGCCTGATGATTGGTCCCTCTGCCACTTTTAATGTGCACTTTAAGAAATCTAGTGCTCCCCACCCGCGCCCCCGATGGCAGAATATTTCTGAATAACTTGAAAATCACACCCACTTGAAATGCTGACTTGGGAATACACTTTTTTGGACACATGCTTCATCATATTTCAGCTGTACACAAAGATAAGCACTTTAGAAGCCTGAAGGCAGAGCATTTCCTCCTACAGAAGAGAATTTATATTTTCCCTGACATTGCCCAGGCAACACAGGCTTGAATAAAAAATTGACGCTAAAAGCAGAGTTCTCTAGTCTGGGAATCAACACTGTTATTTTATTCCCAGCTACATTCAGTATCCTACTTGAATCAAGAGAAGAATGTTCTTCCTAAGTCCAGGGATGTTGAACATATTTTGATGACCCATATAGAAGCTATTAGAGGGCATGAAGATGCAAAGAAAAGAATCTGAAGTTATAGAATGATCCAACTGGAGATTCACTTTGCCCTGATTTTATGCAGCCTTTCCTCCTTCTGTGCTTCCTTGCCTTTTTTTCTCCTCTGATCTTAGTAGTGATATTTCATGTCTATTATATTTAGAGTGTTGTATGAGAGGCAGAAACCCATGTTCTCTAAACAGTACTCTCCTGCACAGTATCATAGCCACTATGTTACAGAATCAGATCTCCTCTTCTGCCTTCCAATTTGAAATCTTTTGCATACCTAGAACAGCAGTAGTGAGCCACACACAGACCGTGAAGCTATAGAAACGTCATGGGAGATATGAGCCTGAATCTGCCCAGGCTAACAAGGGCTTTGTACCCAAGTCTTCATTTCTCTGGATACCTCTATGAGGATTAGTCATACACTGACATGTAATTTAGAGCATCTAAGTTAAAAGTGTAGGTAAGCACAGAGATAGCAGAAGCACAAAGGCTCCTAATAAAGGTTGCCTGAATATCCAACTGAAGTTTTTCAGGAGATTTTATCTCTCCTGACGCACCTGGCATGAGCTGTTCTTTGTGCCATGCAGTGAGTAGGAAAGCTTGCTCACTTACAAGGACTCCCAATACAGTTGCCAACCATCTCTCTCTCTGTATCCAGAAGGAAATCTGTGCTGCTGTGCCAGGGAAAGCTGAAAAGGGCACATTGCTCTCACCATGCTGAGATGCAAACAGCAGCCTGCCTTGTCAGTGACATGCCATGGTACCTTCCACAATGCCATTCCTCGATGGCTGATTTGAGAAACATCTTTTCACAGGAGCTACCCAAACTAACCCGCAGTGTAAGCCATCCCACAGCACACAGGCAGTGGTAGGCTGGGCACAGGGCAACCTGCAATACAAGCAATATTAAGCATCTGGCTGAGAAATCACTGCTGAGTGCTTTTTTCATTTGTTGGTGTTCATGGGAAATGTATTCCTTCTAGCTGAGTGCTCAGATTCAGTGCTACAGATCGTGGTATCTCAGCCCTAATGAATCAGCTTTAGAAAGTTTTCCTGTCTGCTTCTTAGTTATTTATATATTCCTGTAATGGCTAAGAATCATTCACTATTTTTCGTTTGTTTGTTTGTTTGTTTGTTTGTTTGTTTGTTTGTTTTGGGGGGGTTTGTGGGTTGTGGGTTTGTTTTTTTTTACCCTGGAGCCATATTCTTAGCGGCTAATGGTAGCTACTGATTAATACTACTCCTCATATCTAAAATAATACCAGAAGTCTTTCCAATTAATCAAAGAATGGTGTTACAATGAACTTATGAATAAGTAACTAAAGCTATGCTTGATCTCAATAACAATAATTTTTTGCTTTTGTATTTTTGGTAGAATTAGCTTCAGTTACTAAGGTAAGAAAATCTTTGCTTTTTTTCAAATCAGGACTAAGTGCTCTGTTTTGTTGTAACTAATAAATTTTACTCTTATCAGTGGCCTTATTTTTTTTCCAGTTCTGTCTTAGTTGTTGGACTCTGTAAAACCAGCAATTCACTCAGATGATTACTACTTTACTCCCTAGTGAGACTAAATATTCTTAAGCTACCTTCCAAATGCAGACTTCCAGCTTCCAACACTGAGAAAAAAAAATGTGTACAAATGTCCAATCCCAAGTTATACAAGGAAAGTACAAATATGGGGGTCTCTCAGGAAAACTGGATGGTGCAAATCGAGTGTGGGAAAATGCTGAGAGCTTCAGGTCACAGCTGACATTTAAACTCAACACCTCTGCTTCTGCAGTGCTATTAGTGGTCGTCAGTGACGTAAAACACTGCTTCACAGTGGGTTTGATATTGAGATAATCTGTACAATGAGCCACCGAATACAGCTGTATTTACAGACTTAGTAAACTCTTTCTGCAGAATATCAATATGGGTGCCTACAAGCAATGTTTCTTTTTAACTCGCAGAGTTGTGCTTTTTTGCATGACCTGCACAAGAGAAGTGCTAGCATCTTCCTCTTCACAAGTGATTTCCATCCTGTTATTATTGTCCATGATTTAGGTAACTGAATACCTGAAAACTGATAGCTACATTTCACAAGTTAGAAAATTCCAAGAGAAACTAGTGAGGTGAGTCACCTCCACACTTTATTTCTGCTTCACCAAAGAGTGTCAGAGATGCTTCACTTCATCTTTGACTGTTGGCTGTGGTCTCCTTAATAAGAGGAAACAACAGAGTTTGAGCTGAAACAGCACAAGCTCTATCTGTCCACTGCTCATGCAGAACAGTCAGGTGGTCTGGTTTATGGACAAATGATGTTATTTATTTTACATTCTGGGATTTTTTTAATATGTTGCGGCAAAACATTTTTCTATCTTTTAGGGAAAGAAATTAGCTCAAGTTTTGATGAATTTGAGGTTTGGAAAAAAGTAGGTACACTGCAATAGGAGAAATTAGTTTGAAAATACCCTTTAGAAACACCCAGCATTGTCACAGAGAATTCTTGAGTAATGTACATGTGGCTCCTAATAATGTTGTAAATGCCTGCATTATTGCCAATAAAAGATGCCATCTGGTAGGTCTGCCTATTAAAACAGAGGTTTATCTGCAACCTTTTAAGTCTGGGTTTGTTGTTGGGTTTTTTTGGTGTTTTTTTTTTCTGGGGGATGTTGCTGAATCATTAAGAAAATCATGGCAGTGTTAATAAAATTATTTATGAAGTTATCAAAATACCAGTTGTGATAAATTAGATCCTAAACTCAAGTCACTTCTAAATTGGACTTTGACTTCGTTAAACCAACTTTATCTCAACTTTGGTCATCAGCCCTTCCTACCATGAAGGGTAGTAAAAGCACGAGTCATAGAATCACAGAATGCTGAGTTGGATAAGACCCACAAGGATCATTGAGTCCAACTCCTGGCCCTGCACAGGACCACCCCCAAGACTCACACCATGTGCCTGAGAGTATCATCCAAATGCTTCTTGAACTCTGTCAGGTTTGGTGCTGTGACCACTTCCCTGGGAAGCCTGTTCCAGTGTCTGAACCCCTTCTGGGTGAAGAATCTTTTCCTGATATCCAACCTAAACCTCTCCTGACACAACTTCAGGCTTGTCACTGGTCACCACAAAGAAGAGATCAGCACTTGCCCCTCCTCTTCCCCTCATGAGGAAATTGTAGACTGCAATGAGGTCTCCCCTCAGTCTTCTCCAGGCTGAACAGATCAAGTGACCTCAGCCATTCCTCATACAGCTTCCCCTCAAGGCCCTTCACCATCTTCATTGCCATCCTTTCAACACTCTCTAAAGGCTTAATATCTTTCTTACACTGTGGTGCCCAAAACTGAACACAATATTCAAGGTGAGGCTGCCCCAGTGCAGAGCAGAGCGGGACAATCCCCTCCCTCAACCGACTGGCGATGCTCTGCCTGACACCCCCCAGGACACAGTTGTCCCTCCTGGCTGCCAGGACACTGCTGACTCACATTCAACTGCTTGATCAGGACCCCCAGGTCCCTTTCCATGGCACTGCTTTCCAGCATCTCATTCCCCAGTCTGGGTGTATATATGGGGTTGCCCCATCCCAGGTGCAGGATCTGGCACTTTCCTTTGTTGAGCTTCACATGGTCGGTGATTGACCAGCCCTCTAAGTTGTTAAAGTCAAGCTCTATAGTTTTCTTCTTTCAACAGTAAAGGCTGAGGTCTGACCTGGGGGAGTCATTCTGTGCATCTGTGTCATCTATGAAACCTGTTATACCTGAAGGAGGAGGTGGGGAGAAAAAAAGGATACCTTATTTCAAAAGCATGTTTTTACCACAAAAAACCTCTTTGTCCACTCTGTCACTACAGAAATATAGTCAAGCTGGGGAAAGTATGGTAAAATAACAGAAGAACAGGCAGGTAGTTATGCACATATCCACCCCATGCTTCTATTCACAGAGACTGCAGGCACAAGGGAGGGCAATCTAGACACCCAATGAAAACATGCTTGTCCAAAAGGCTGAAAGGATTAATAACAGCACTAGCAAGCAAAAATCCATTTTAAGTAAGAAGTTACTGCCTACCTTTATTAGTGGCATCACCACATAGCATCTCTTTGCTGACCCAAAAGCATGGCAAAATGCAAGCCATACAAGTTTAAGGATACTTGCACAAATTTAGCATTAGGAAGGACCAAGGAGAAAAATGGCTTAAAGAAAAAAATAAAAGACAACTCTCATTTGAAATGAGGCATTTAAATCCATTTTCAAAGAACAAAAAGTGAGTTTATATGAAAATACTAAAAGGTTCTTCTTTCAGTACTTGAAATAATCCATTTATCAGTGATACTAATTGAAAGATACATGTCAGGCAGCATAAAAAGTGTTGGATGATAGGAGAGGATTTTTAAATAATAATAGTAATGCTTTATGACATTTAGGTTTGGGGATTTTTAAAGAGACAGAGTTGATTTTGCACACCAAATTCAATGAAGCACAGCCATAGAAAGTATGCACCACTGTAATTTCATCTTTGACATGATGCTGGTTACAATAGGAAAAGCTTCCCCTTAAATGTTTGGTTACACTAAGAGTATTGTTTATGTGATAT